TCCTCCTTCTACCTGGGTTGACACTATCTTAAGTATTAACCCTAACCTCAAGGTTACCATTTCAAAGCTATACGATACTCTTTTCACATGCCACCCTCTGCCCTCTGATAACTTTCGAACTAATTTGTCAGAGGACCTCAATATAGAGATAGGGACTGAGGTTTGGCAGTCTATTTTGAAACGTATCCACACATCATCCATTTGTGCCCGCCACGGGGTTTTACAATGTAAAGTGGTCCATAGAGTGCACTGGTCCAAAAGTGAACTAGCTCGCATCTATCATGGTACTGATCCTAACTGTGATAAATGTCACCTAGGACCAGCTAATCTCGCCCACATGTTTTGGACTTGCCCCACCCTATCTCAGTTTTGGAAGTCTGTCTTTGACTCACTCTCAGCTATCACGTCTGTTACCATCCATCCCTCACCCTTAATTGGCCTGTTTGGTGTCTTACCCGTTGACCATTTACTGCCATCCTATTTGGCTGAACTTGTAGCTTTCCTCACATTGATGGCTAGGCGCGTTATTTTGATGCATTGGAAGGGTCCTCGTCCCCCCTCTCATACACATTGGATAAAGGATGCCCTATACTTTGTGAAACTGGAAAAAATTAAACACTGTATTAGGGGCTCAGACTTGAAATTCACAAAAATATGGCTACCCTTCTGAGAACATGTTAAGTCCCTCCAGTTGGAGTCTGTCCCCATTGGCTGAGTCGCCCCCCTGTACCGCAACATCTCACAGGAATGCTCACAAAATGTTTCGCAGGTTGTTTTTTTGTTCTTTTCCCTTTTGGGATTTATTTTTTATTTTTTGTATTATTATTATTTTTTTTTATTTTATTTCATTATTACATTATTGTCTAATTGTAACTGATGTATTGTTTCTTGGGGTTGTTTTGTTAGAAATCGCAGGGGTAATGCATTGTATTGATGTCTTTGTGTATTGAAAATCGCAAAAATAAATCATATATAAAAAAAATAAAAGGATGAGTATCATGTTCGGCTTTTATGAATCGATAATTTCTTGTTTGCTTCTAGACAATATGCAAAACATCTATTTTTATTGTGGAACTTCTTGAACGTGGTATTTCACTGTCAAACTCAATGTTCGTCGTCTGATCTGAAACCCCCTCAGAAAAAGAGATAAAAAATACCTGATGGAAAATTCCAACATTGCGGTACCGCCATCAAAGCTGAATGCCAATTAGCGGGAATTTCCTGTCTCAAAGAAACCCTTTGCAATCGCACAGTTGGAATGTGATTTTTTTTTCAAAGCGACACAAGACATGTAAGAGAGCTCAATGGTGGCCACATCACCTGCATTCACATTTCAAGAGCAGCATCATACAAAGAAGAAGAACAAAGCTATGTATTCTCTTGTCTCTTAACCATATATTTGTCTAAAGAGGCAACTACGTCCTGGTTGGAACAAACAAATCAAGTTACGCCAATCACCACCCATATTAATCCACTTGGCTACCCCTGCAGTTCAAAGCTCCTGATGTCGTAATGATGGTGGCCAAGCTATAGGAGGTAGATTGCTCACCACAGTTACACCTAGAATGACGCATTACAAGGCACTGTATTCAGAAATTGGTCTCTTCTGTAATTGTGACTCAGATGGTGGTTACTTCAAAGAAAATATAAAGTGTTTTGCCTTTTTCAACATCGCCTGAATTCAGTCTTATTGACAGGTGAGTAAGGTGTATGCACTTTATTAAAGGTATCCTATGGAGTGTTCTCTAGCAGCATACAGCAATGTTTTTATGAATGGGCCCACGTTTTGTTGTTGTGTCAGATTTCACGCTACTCTTGGATAGTAAACACTTATATTTTGTTCACAAGAAAACTCCCCAGGCCACATTTAACTGCCATTACTCATTGTTTTGAAGCTTTTAGGAAAACAACTGTATTCTCCTTGTATGTGTGAATAACACATACAGTATGATGTTGTCAAAGTCTCCTTCTTAGGTGTGAAGAATGTTCTCTGCCAGGTACACACTTCATAATCCATCTTTTTCTTAACGTCTCGTTCACACTTACGTTACATCTATATCCACAGGAGAGTCAGACCCTTTGCTTTGAAATGTGCTTATTTAGAGCAACATGTATTTAATGTCATTGTACAAATACAATGAGATAAAGTTTACAACTTACTAATCGATGCTATAATAAGTAAGGTGAATATTAAAGAGTTAAAATAGTAATAGGATCACATCATAAACAGTATCCGACATAATTAAAATAGTGTAACAACACGTGCATAATTAATATCAAATATTAGTCTATGAATAATGTTTTTGTATGAGAAAATGCACTTACTAAAAACATTGAATTGCAACAGCTTTCACCGTTGGAGAGTGTGTGATAATTGTAGACAATGTGTGATGCATTGCTGAAAGACTGGAGAACCGGAAATATTAACTTCATCACGATTGATAGACTGTCTATAAGAAGATATACAAAAAATACATTTTAGGGCACTACAAAAAGTGAATAATGCATCATCTCTTGTCAGGATTGTTTTAATTCCATGCTATCGGTCATTGCGTGGGTGTATGAGTCAGTTTTTTTGAACATCTCGTTCTCCAAAAACCTCTTTTTTTTGCAGATGAGGTTATTTTGTAACAATGTGGAGTGCTTTCCCTAGCATCAGTTGAGTGCACTCATCCACTCAAGAGCAAGATCAATGCCACACACAGCTATGATAATCATTGCCAGTGATGATTTTGTGCCCTTCACCTTTGTGGTTCTGATAGTAAACACCTTTTCAGAATACCCTAAGCTCAGCTCCACACTGTACGTGGCTATTCCAAAGGCCTTGGGACACAGAGTTTGTATTTCCTTTGATTCTTGTTTGAATAAATACTGGCTGTTGCATTTCCAGGCTGTCAAGAAAAGAATCATGTGTTGAATGTGAGTCTTTGGATGTTTTGAAGTGCCTTGAGGGTCGGTTTAAATTCTCCAAAGAAGAAGACCATAAATGTCACTGTGTTAAATAATTGTTTTGACAGCACGGACAATTACAGAGTCATAGTTGAGCACATTTATGTTGATAATGGGTTTAAACATATACAGGACTGTCTCAGAAAATTAGAATATTGTGATAAAGTTCTTTATTTTCTGTAATGCAATTAAAAAAACAAAAATGTCATACATTCTGGATTCATTACAAATCAACTGAAATATTGCAAGCCTTTTATTATTTTAATATTGCTGATTATGGCATACAGCTTAAGAAAACTNGTCGGTTTAAATTCTCCAAAGAAGAAGACCATAAATGTCACTGTGTTAAATAATTGTTTTGACAGCATGGACAATTACAGAGTCATAGTTGAGCACATTTCTGTTGATAATGGGTTTGAACATATATATACAAAAATGCTTTCAAGTATGTTATTGTGGGAAAGTGTTATATTGTACTAGCTCTTTACACTTGCTGTTTTTAATGGATTATTTCCACGTTATTGCTCACGAAACATAGTCCATTATAAGGTTGTTTGAATCAAATAACATGCATCACACATAATACTCATATTTATAATTCTGAGGGATGTTAGACAACTATATATAGACCACTATGTATATGTGTGTATATATATTCTATTCTACATTTCTCACAAAAACTGCCTCACTACACTCACTTACTCTGAGACCCTGGCTCTATTAATCCATTATTGTGTTGGCTATACAACACATTTCCACATTACAAGTACAGCACAAATGATTTTACAGGATTTATTGTATAGCCTTTTGAGGGGTTTTGTTATAACGTGACGATAGAGGGCGCTAGTAAGCAAGGATAAAGCCACTGCTGGAATTCAGACAGCCGTCTGAGAGAGCTGCAGCTGCTGAGACCGGCTCCCTCCCCCTTTCTCCCACTCTGCCCCTCACTCCTCCACTCACTCATCCACTGTATAACATCACACAGCGACGCACTGCCTCTATAATAAAAGAGGAGAGCATCCCCAAAGTTATAGGAGACCCTCACCGACACGGATTAAAGCACAAGTTCCTTCCTTTTATAAGCAGCAAATGCTTATACGTGCTGTGGATACATAAACAAATTCAGCCCGAAATGTGGCCAGATTGACCGGCAGCGTCACATGAGTGTTCGCTCAACACTGTACCAAGACAAGTATTACAATGCAGCTGAAGTAGGACACACACCGCGCACACTAATCTTACACATGGAGTTGCGCAGTGGCCGAGAAAGATCGTCTATAGTGGTAACACGGGAGGGGATTTACTGACTTTATTCCTCTTTACGCAAATTAATTCCAATCCACTGTCTCACTTTCCTGAAGTGGACTGAGCAGCATGAGGGTGGGTGATGCGGAGCACGCTGATCTGGGGAGCACAGCCACTGGCGACCACACGCATTCATATTACTAAACCATAGCAGTGTGCGCGCGACACACACACACACACACACACACACACACACACACACACACACACACAGCCCCGTCCCGTCCTGTCTCGCATGTCCCGCAGCGTCTGTGTGTCCTCTGCGGGGCAGGGATTTGGAGCTGAATCGTATAAAATCATGAAAATAAAAACTTGTACCAGTGCGTAAAAGTTGCATTTCTGGTCACGCAATAAATCTCTCTTGGCAGAAGCACACACTTCCCCACTATGGTCGTTAAACATGCTATACATTCTTATAACTTGTATGTTTTGGTGGGATATCTTCCCACATTGCATGCCCACATATACAGCGCTCACAAAGTGCCGTGCCACGTTCCGAGGAAATACCGTAAAACGACCATTTATTATTATTATTTAGGCATTTCCTCTCTATGTCCAATTCCTGTCAAATATTGTCTGCCGGTGTCTGGACCCGGCGATCAAGACCAAGTCCGACCCTGTTTACGTGCGCACTTCTGGGGGGAGAAGCAATCTGAGGGAGGTGGAGAGTGAAAGAGAGAGAGATAGGTTGAGGCAGAGGGAGAGAGAGACTGCAATATCATTTGTGAATCCCTCTCACAGTGCTGCAGATAGGGGCTGCCAACACATGCGGCGCGTCTGCAGGTGAGGGAACAGGCTAGAACACACTGAGGAATTCATCCTTTAAAAGACAAACAGCGACGGATATACACTGTTTTAATCCTTTAGATTTTTCTTCTGAGTGCAATCTTTGCATTGTGGAGTTCCAAAAAAAAGAGAGAACTGTACTGCTGTCTGGCTGGAAGTGACTTGGAGGAAGAGAGCAGCAATCGGACAAGTAATTTCATATTCACAATCCTCCAGATCGGAGAGTTGACAGGTGTCCAACACTCGCAGTGAGACGAGTTTGGAAACTGCGCGGGCATTTAAATGATCCTCTGACATATGTGGACATATCGGAATATTGCAGCCTCACCCAAAAAAAAAGCAGATTGAACGACAGACTGTGAGTAAAACGGCGGCGTATGGACTTTCTGGTGAAATGATGATCGGACTATAACATTTTTGCTTTTACGTGCATGAAATTCAGATATCTGTGGGAACACTCTGTTGAGTTTTGCTTGTCTTTTTTGTACTAATATAAGGACAGAGCAACTAACATTCAGTTCTGGAGGAGGAAAAAGCAGACGTGCACTTGCTGCTTTGCACTGCAGCAGGAGCGATGTAAGAAGTCGTCCGGAGGATGAAGTCTCACGCATCCCGCAGCAGAGGGTTTTGCTCTGTATGAAAACGATTTTTTTTTCCTTCAATATTCGGACTCTCCGCTAGTGATTAATTTTCCTGGACATTTATTTTTTCTCATCTAAGTGGACACTATTTCAAGGGGGAACAATGAGGACTACTGGTGCAGTGGACTATTTGTACTATTGCATGCTCATCCTGCAGTTTGTGCATCAGCCGGCTGCCAAGCAAGTGCTCCGGTACCGTTTGGCTGAGGAAGGACCTGCCGATGTCAGAGTAGGGAACGTGGCCGGCGACCTGGGCATTGTTGCCGGGTCCGGTGAGGTGACATTTACGCTAGAATCAGGCTCCGATTTTTTCAAAATAGACAACATTACAGGTGAGCTCACCACCAACGAGAGGCGCATAGACCGTGACAAATTACAGCAGTGCCAAATGATATTTGACGAAAATGAGTGTTTTATAGATTTCGAAGTGTCAGTGATTGGGCCAGCCCAGAGCTGGGTCGACCTCTTTGAGGGAAAAGTCATCATATTAGATATAAATGATAACACCCCCTCTTTCCCTTCCCCTGTCCTGACACTGTCTGTGGAGGAAAACAGACCCATTGGAACCCTTTATCTGCTGCCCACAGCTACAGACAGAGATTTTGGGAGAAATGGAATAGAGCGATATGAGCTTATACAGGACAATGGGGAAAACTCAAGGCGCTTGGGCTCTTCTGGGGATTCATTCAACGGGAAGAGGAGATTTGAAGAAACCGCAAGCAGGAGCAGCGTCTTTGAACTGCAAGTTGCTGATACTAGTGATGGAGAGAAGCAGCCTCAACTTATCATTAAAGGGGCCCTTGATAGGGAACAGAGAGACTCCTATGAGCTTACGCTGCGAGTTAGGGATGGAGGAGACCCCCCTCGCTCCTCCCAAGCCATTCTTAGGGTGATGATCACTGATGTGAATGACAACAGCCCTCGCTTTGAGAAGAGTGTGTATGAAGCTGACTTACCAGAAAACAGCTCCCCTGGCGCCCCCATACTGCAGCTCAAAGCGGCTGATGCAGACGTGGGGGTTAATGGTCAAATAGAGTATGTGTTTGGGGCAGCCACAGAGTCAGTGAGGAGGCTGCTGAGGTTGGATGAGAGCACAGGGTGGTTGAGTGTGTTGCACCGCATTGACCGTGAAGAAGTGAGCCAACTGAGGTTCACAGTAATGGCCCGTGACCGAGGTCAGCCACCGAAAATGGACAAGGCCACTGTGGTGTTGAACATCAAGGATGAGAATGACAACGTTCCTGCTATAGAGATAAGGAAAATTGGACGCATATTCTTAAAAGATGGCATTGCTAACGTGGCGGAGGATGTGGTGGTGGACACACCCATTGCCTTAGTTCAGGTGTCAGACCGCGACCAGGGAGAAAATGGCATTGTCACCTGTACAGTGGTGGGGGATGTTCCCTTTCAGCTCAAACCAGCCAGCGAGATGGAGGGAGATCAGAATAAAAAGAAATATTTCCTCCACACTTCTGCAACGCTGGACTATGAGGCCACACAGGAATACAATGTGGTCATAGTGGCTGTGGACTCTGGAAGCCCCAGTCTTGCAAGTAATAACTCTGTTATCGTCAAAGTTGGCGACACTAACGACAACCCTCCTATCTTCAGCCAGAACGTAGTAGAGGTGTCCTTTCTGGAAAACAATGCCCCCGGAGAGAGGGTGACAACAGTGAAAGCCATCGACGCAGATAGTGGGAAGAATGCTGAAATAGCCTACTCCCTAGACTCATCTGTAAATGGGATTTTCTCCATCGATGCAGACAGTGGAGACATCCGAGTAAACACCATTCTGGATAGAGAGCAAACAGAGCACTACGAATTCAAAGTGATAGCCAAAGATAAGGGCATACACACTCTACAGGGCTCTGCAACAGTGGTCGTCCTTGTGGCAGACAAGAATGACAATGAGCCAAAGTTCATGCAGGATGTGTTCACCTTCTACGTCAAAGAAAACCTTGAGCCAAACAGCCCAGTTGGCATGGTCACAGTCATCGACGCAGATAAAGGCCAAAATGCAGAGATGCGTCTTTTCATTGAGGAAGAGGAGGAAAACTTTTCTATTGAAAATGACACTGGGACTATTTTCTCTACCTTGTCCTTTGACAGAGAGCAGAAAACGACATACACATTCCGAGTAAAAGCTGTAGATGGTGGAGACCCTCCCAGATCTGCCACCGCCACAGTTTCACTCTCTATCATGGATGAAAATGACAATGCACCAACAGTGACTTTCCCATTAAACAGCTCCTACACCCTGCTTCCTCCCTCCAGTAACATCAGAACAGTAGTCAGAACAGTCATAGCCACTGACACAGACACCGCCGTTAACGCAGACTTGAGCTACAGCATCATTGGGGGAAACCCCTTCAGGCTGTTTGAGATTGACGGGGGCACTGGTGTCATTTCACTGGTGGGGAAGTTGGAGCAGAAGCACTATGGCCTCCACAGACTTGTTGTCCAGGTGAACGACAAGGGCCAGCCTTCACAGAGAACCACCACGCTGGTCCATGTGTTTGTCAACGAGACTCTTTCTAATTCCACAGTTGTGGAGGCCCAGGTGGCTAGGAGCCTAAGCACATCTCTGAACACCAACATTGCCGGTGACCCCAACTATGATCTGAGCAAACAGCGGCTGAGCATTGTAATCGGAGTAGTTTCGGGCATCATGACGGTAATCCTCATTATTCTAGTCGTCGTCATGGCCCGTTACTGCCGCCCTAAGAATAAGAATGGCTACGAGGCTGGAAAAAAGGATCACGAAGACTTCTTTACGCCACAGCAGCACGATAAGGCTAAGAAGCCCAAGAAAGATAAGAAAAAACTGAAGTCCAAACAGCCACTTTACAGCAGTATTGTCACCGTAGAGGCCTCCAAACCCAACGGGCAGCGCTACGATGGCGTCAACGAGAAGCTGTCGGACAGCCCTGGCATGGGCCGCTACCGATCGGTCAACGGAGGGCCGGGGAGCCCAGATCTGGCCCGGCACTACAAGTCAAGTTCACCCCTCCCTACTGTCCAGCTTCACCCGCAGTCACCGACAGCTGGAAAAAAGCACCAGGCAGTTCAGGACCTGCCCCCTGCCAACACCTTTGTTGGCACTGGAGATAACATTTCCCTTGGATCTGACCACTGCTCTGAATACAGCAGTCAAACTATCAACAAGTACAACAAACAGGTAAGAAGACACATCTCCATGTTCTTTCCTCTCCCCCCACCTCCCCCCCTCCAACACTCTTAAATGTCTTCTGTTTCTTCCTCTTAGTGTTCTTTCTACCATAATGCTTTCTGACAGGGCTAGTCTCAGTAGTCTTGTTGCCTTTATGGTGCTAATGTGTGTCAAGTTAGCGGTATTGATCTGTTTTGGTTTGGAGTGCCATTCACATGTAATATTGAAAGGGAAGGTTTAGATTTGCTGATGTAGGGGGTATTGTTACCACTAGACCAGACATGTCCAACTTTTTCCCTTTCATCCTGGCATTTGTTGAGGCAACCTCTTCTGCCCGCAGTGTCACATCTACTAACCTTAGCAACAATGTGCCGGAGTGTTGTAGACAGCTCACATAAGGGTTTGGTTTTCGCAGTTATTTTATCCCAGAGGGGATCATGCCAGGGGCCGGCTGCCTCCCCCCCCCACCCCTTAGCCATGTCAAGCCCTTCCCTGCCCCTCTGTCTGTGACAAGGGGGCCTTGTCTTCTCAAGGAAGAGAGAACAAAAACTAAATAGGATAAGAGAGAAAGGTGAATGCAGCACAAACATGGCTTTGTGAGTTTTATAGACTCGGCTTGAGTAGGAACATCTGGCCAGGAGCTAATATGAACATTCCTCTGCATCAATTCATTGACCTAGCTGTGAAATTGGACGTTTTTATATCACCTCCCATATTTTGCCTCAGCTTTTTTCACTCCCTTTATCCTCATATATAAATGTCCATTATCTTATACCTGCTTGTCTTCCACTATCCTCCAGCTAGTGTTATCTCACTGCTTTTTTTTGCTTTCCTTTCTCCCCGTAACTATCTTCTTACATTTGCATTGCTGAAAAAAAAAAAGGTGTAGGTGGGATGATGGGATATTCAGATGTAGGCTTTTTAAAATAGTTTAATTCTTTATTTATTTGGGGTCACATTATATTAAGAGTACAGTTCTGCAAATCATATATTTTTAGAAACCCGAATGTGGGCTTTTATCAATTTAATCTTTATAGAATTTGGCAGTTTTACCGCTGTGACGTGCAACAGCAGTAGAACATGAAGTTAATATGCAATGAAGTCAGCTGATTTGCATTTTCAGGAACAAATAACCCTTTTGTTTAATGTATTGTCTATGGCAGTCTGATTATTGATAATTATTTTAATAATGTCAGCAATACTCCTTTTTGAGGGCAGTATTCTCTCAGAACACAGCTGGATTGTTACCTTTTTTTACTCAATTTCCCCCCTTTTTTTTTCTTTTTGATAAATCTCTTTGTTCATCTTTTTATAGTATATGCAATCTATCGCACCTCCAACTCTCGTCTGGCCTTGTGTAGCACATCCTTGCATGCCTTGCCTCCTCCCATGCTGCCACGCTTCTCCCACTGTATTCCTTTTTTTCTCACTTTTTTCAGCCACCCTTTACATTAGTGATCTCTGCCTTGCCTTTTTTCTTACAGTGGTCTCTTTTTAAATCTCCACTCTCATCTCTCTATATCCCCTCCCCTCTTCTAAAATCATTTCACTGTCCTTTTACTTCTCTCCCTTCTCTACCACTGCTCTGTCTCTAATATGGTGTATTCACTGAGCTGTTTCCCAGAGTGTGAGGAGTGCTGTTGCTTTCCGATGTCTCCTGCATAATTAAAAGGGCACTCTATTTGCTGCTGCGGCAGCAGCATGTATTGTGTGTCACTATGCTCCACTTTTATAATTATTTATTTACTCCCTACATTAATGCTGTGGTAACTTTTATGGACTGTGCATTTGTTAGAAGACAGCGTCGGGGGAAAACCAAAATGCACAAAGATATTTTTCTTGTGATTTTAGTCCGTTCCGTTCTGACATTCACATTGAATACTGAAGAAAGTGTTTACTGGTCTACAGGGCAATATCCACGTTTACTGTGTTTTAGCCTGTTTGGTATTTAATTTACAATAGCTAGCAGGTAATCAAAAAGCCTTTTTATATCCCATGGGCTCAGTAAATACTCAATGTTGATACATTATGTTGGGGTGAATAGGGTGTAATTTAATGGCTGCACAAGAGAGCTAATTGAGGAGAAGGTGCGTATTGTGCGCTCAATTATGGCATTAAACAGCCACCTCTGTATTAGATTAAGTAGCGAGGCGGTCATGCTCTCGATTTTAGGGACGCAGCCTCTAGAAATGTTCTGTTCTCATGAAAGTGGCACTACAGTTTAAAGATATAATAAAACACTTAAGGGCACTCGTGTTCCTCAGTTAATGGAACAATTTGGGCAATATCTGGATTAGTGGTTAAAACTTGTGGAAGGAAACAAGATCATATTTTGTATTTTTTCTTAGAAGAAAAAGGTTTGACTTAGCTGGAATGAATTCAAATCACAGAGGTTATATTTTAAATTTGACTCTTTTATCACATTTAGCCAAAAACAAGTTGAACCTGTGCATGGTTAAGATTAATGACAGGGGAAGTTTTTCATTGTGTGTGCACATACACTCCCTCGCCCACAAACCCATATCCTTTACCACTCCCTCTCTTTTTGTCTGCCTGTGGGAAGAGATAGAGACAGGCACAAGAAAGACGGCCCTGTTAGCGGTATAGAGAATGGCCCCTACTGTTTCACAGGGGACTCGGGGGGTCGGGTGGAAAGATAGAGAGAGAGAGAGACGGGGAGGGCGAGGGAGGGAGAATAGTGCTGACCATTGACTGTAATCTCTGAGGTATCAGGTTCCGTCTTTCTCTCTCCTCGCCTACCTAATCTTACAATAACTGCAAAGGCAACCTGCTCGGCCAGGTAACCAGGCAACTGAGGGAGTTAATCGGTGAGGCGAGCCTTTCCTTTTAGCCCATCAGACATTTAAACAGTCATTAAGCTGATCTAACTGTGAGGAGAAGCCAGTGTGTCACCCAGCGTCTGTTGAGGCTTGAACAGGACGTGCAACAGCCTTGACATTTATTTGTATCTCCATCGATTGGGACTTTTCATATTTCCTGGTTTTAGCTGGCTACATTACACTTGGTGTATCTGCTCCTTACACACCTGTGTCAGATTCTAGTCGTGCGAGCACTTTACAGAACACTTAGCTCTATTACTTTTGGCAGTAGCTTCCGTTCCATCCAGTGCCAGAAAATAATGCCGTCCAACTGTAATGCAGTGAGGAATTAAATAATTTAGCCTTCGAATTAGCACGAGCCATCAGCTTTTGTTTTATCTCCCCAGTTCAAAGCGTCCACTCGTGCCCAGGTGGATCACTTAGAATCAGTGGTGAGCCACAGCAGCTTGTATTCTGTGCTCTCGCAGCGTAGCCCCTCAGGGCAGGAAACACTGTGGCCCCATACTTATACCAGATTATCCTGCCTCGGGCTGATGCAGCAAGCAAAACTGGACATTGTCCTTAACCCAGCCCCCAGTGTTGGCCCCCCGCGCTCTGGCCAGCTGTTCCCTCTGTGCCTTTTGTAGCTGCAACCTCTGAAACACAAGCCGAGTACAGCGGATTTGCATAGAGCAAATCCTCACCCCGTCGAACAATATCACCATGCAAATGGAGGTCACTTAGACGGTGTTTGTGGCCAAAACATAGGATATGATTGCCCTTCAGGCTCCAGGCAGATCAGGAAACCAATATGGAAATGCAATACTTTGCCTCAGGCCTCATTTGTGTTAACCTAAAATCTGTTGCGCCTACCTACAGAAAGCCACACCTGACCTAATAGAAACTATAAACCCAAGTTACTCAGCATATCAGGTTTCAAGATTCAAGTAATGCTTTACCTACAACATCACATTTGGTATATCAATTACTCATCCAGTGTGAACTCAAATTCTTAAAGAAAGCTTACCAAAACTGAGAAAAGCCATGTAAAGTAAATCGGACCTGCATTTAACAAAAGCAGAACTAAATCAAAACATCTGGAGCAGTATAATCCAAGTCTCATGTCATCATCCAGTCATATGGTCAATTCATACCAAACCCATGCATTTTTGTAGAAAACACTTGAAAAAGCTTAGAATAGCACAATTGATTAAATACTAAGATTTAAGTTAAAACTTGTGTTTGGAAAGCAGCCACACAAAGCATTTGTTTCAAGAGTATAAGGCAATGGATGAGTAATTACCCAAAACAAATCTATTTAGCAGGAAAAGTATTTCTTTAAGCAATCTTTTTTTACACCATTGTCCAAACCTCTGTGTATTTTTCCTTAGCAGTCATCACCACTTAACTCCCCTGATGGCATGATAGAATCTGTAGAGCTGTTGTGGCAGTCAGTCCCTCATTGAGCTCAATAAGGTAATTACTTGATAAGAGGTTCCACAGGAGCTTTAACAATGTTTGTACATGCCCCCCCCCCTCCATAGCTGCTGATACAGGTCAGCTTGTTTTCTTGAGTAAACTGAGAAAGTGGTAACTCTTTTTTAATTGTCATTGGATCTGACTTCCTAGGACAGTGCGTTGCAAAGTCCCTTAAGCAATCTGCTGATTATCCTGTAGAAGAATAAAATATGAAAACAGTTTTTATAGCAACTTCACTGAATTCCCGGATAAGGTGGCAGAGGTGAAAAAAACACAATCTGGAAGCCTTGCCTTCAGTAAGAAATGAGATTAGCTGGTTTGTTTATTGCCCCATTACTATTAACCTGCCCTGTTGTGTGGTGCTGCGTACCGCCGACTGTGGCTAATTTTATCAAAATTGTTTTTGGATCTATTACGGCTTAATTCAATAGATGGCTGCTCGGGCTTTTGTTGTTTGTGTTCTGAAAGGAAAATGGAAGGAGTAAGAGTGCACGGTAATACTCATGAAATTGCAGCGGGCAGCATTTTGTGGTATAATTTGGTTTGGTGATTTGAATGCATTCGCTCTCAGGCAATTACTAATCTAAGGATTAGACTTACCTGATACGCCGGCAGAAATGGTGGGGACTGAGAGAGGAAGTCGGGGAGAGATTTCTATAGCTGGTTTCTGCTATATTACTCTGCATAATATGTAAATACTGAGGTTTTTGC